ATGGGGACTTTCCGACCCTGTATAATCGACTGGTGCTCCTAATATACAAGGGCTGTGGTGCCCAAAGTGGAACCCACTGCATCTAAAACCGTAACTTCAAATGATTTGACTTGCATTATTTTGACCCGAGTGTCTTCTATTCGCAAACGCGTACATTTTGGATGACGTTTCTATTTTATCTTCGTCATATGAATTTTTATCCCAAAAATAAAGAAAATCATTAAATCCATTACGTGACGCAGTAGCAAAGAAGCATGCAAAATAAGTCGCGTCGACATATCTGTGTCACACACATAAACCTTATTGACAATCTAAAGTACAACAGAAGTCTATAGTTGAACTGTTTTAAATAATTTTTAATACACCCGACCGGATCGAACCGGATTTGTTTTATAATTATGTTATTAATCTTTAATTGCCATATACATCACTGGCTCTTAGATTAGATAGTAACAATAAATTTTTTTAACGCATGAGTTGTAAACATCATTTATTTTTATGTGGTTAATTGGTACATTATCTATTTTATTCACTTGCAGTAAGCTATGTGACGACAGTGACGCATGAGTGTAGTCTAAATACAGACCGCGCCAAAAAAATTAATCTCGAAAGGAATAGAAATGTTCTATGAAATTGTTTTTCTTTGCATGTCTATGTAGTTACTGAGAAATTTATTTGTCGATTATATAAAAATAATTACGCAACAAAAAGAGGCCTTAATTATAGTCCGTCAAAATTTATCCTTTTGGTATATAAAGTATTTTTTAATTTTTTAGTTCTACTTCAAGGCTGAAGAAATAATATTGAAACACGGTAAAAAGATATGTAGTAAGTTCCTTATAAATACGTTTAAATGTATACAGAAAGAACAATATGAATTTTTAGGCAGTCTGTTTTTTTAGGGGGCCAAAATTAAAGCATCATTCAGCATCCCGTAAATGGATATACAGGATGTCCCGCATAAGAACCGACACAGGGCAGGTGCATGTATGAGTGTCCAAAATATTGTAATTTAACCAAACTTACCTTACCTATATACAAAGTTGCACCCCTGAGTAGTTATTAGCCCCCAAAGTGGGGCCCTAAATTTTGAAAAAAAAAATATATCTGCAACACTACCGTAGAAGAAGCAAGTTTGGTAGGTACCTACATGATTTAGGTTTATTACTGGTCTTCTTTGACTATGATTTAAAACTAATTGAAGCATTACAAGGTGTTCATTGGGGATGACTCACCTCTAAAATTCTACCGAACTTTTTTTTCATTGACCGAATTGAAAAATAGTAATGTTAATTCGCAACAGAATTTAATTTAAATTTTTTTTTGCTCTTGTTAAATTTTAAAAATCTTTATGGTTTTCAAGAAAAACTAGCGAGAAAAACCTATTAACTGACACAAGATTTTAACAGCGTTCATTAGAAAATAGTCAAAAAATCAGTAGTAGGCTTTATCTTTCAAATTTGACAATTGGCCAAATAAATTTTACTTCACTTCTCTCCTAATTCTACAAAAAGAAAACAAGTACCTAGGTAGTTTGTAAATAAACGAATATTCTATTAAATAAAAAACAAATAAATAATAAAAATAATAATTGATATTTTTTCAACAACAATCAGAGGCAATTGTTGAAATAAAATAATTTTATTACTAGCTGACAAGTTTGAAAGATAAATTCATTGCCTACTACTGACTTTTCGATTATTTTCTAATAGACACTATTAAAATCTTGTTTCAGTTAATACGGTGTTTCTTGAAAACCATAAAGTTTTTTAAAATTTAACAAGAGTAAACAAATTTTTAAAATAAAATTCTGCTGTGAACTGATATTATTTTTATTCGGTCATTGAAAAAAAATTCGGTACCATCCCCAATGAACACCTTGTAGTGCTTCAATTAACTTTAAATCATAGTCAAAGAAAACCAGTAATAAACCTAAATCATGTACCAAATTTGGTTTTTCTGCGGTAAAGTGTTGCAGAGATATTATTATTTTTTTCGAAATTTAGGGCCCCACTTTGGGGGCTAATAACTCCTCAGGGGTGCAACTTTGTATATAGGTAAGTTTGGTTAAATTACACAGACCACCTAGACTGGCTTATAGAGCGACTTTGGTGAAAACACTTCGGAGCCTGATTTGGAGCCCAGCGTTCAGTCGTGTCCTAGCATTTGACGTGTACGCATCGCTGTGATTTCGATAATTAGACGTTTTATCATGGGCAAGTGTATTGTAAAACATTGTATAAATAGAAGTGATCGAGTTGGTGAAGAGAGGCGAAAAGTTTCCTTCTTTAGGTAAGTAAAAAAAA